TTACTATTTACATAGTGGATTTTCATATATATTTTATGATTTCAGGTAAAGTATACAGACCGAATTTGTAATATACTCAAAATGTAAGAGTAAACTATAGCCTTCATCCCTGTTTTCAAAATTCGATACGGTCTAAGTTTCAAAATTTATCTCAATTGGATGTTTTGGTTGTTATAGTTGCTCACCTTCAGTTTTAAAATATCTATTTACCTCCAACTTTTCTTTTTATTATTTTTACATTTAATATGGACCGTATATATTTCTTTGTATCTCTCTGTATATAAATTTTGAATTTAATTCCAGGTGAATATTATAAATTTGTAAGATGATTTGTTACTTTTATATATTTTTCTAAATAACATGGTATTTACTACATATTCATATATTTGTTATTTATATTCAGGATGGATAAAGCGTATATGCATTAGAAGACATGAATTTGGTGATCATTACAAAGTTACTGATGCAGTGATTAAAGGACCTGGGAAACTGAACAATCTTTATTAATATTTATTACGATTTCTTTGTTTTTTTCTAGCTTTTTGGTATTGATCTAGATGGGGTTCACAAAAGAGGCCATAACTACACTAATGTTTGCTGTCCATTTCAAACTAAAACACTAATGAACCAGTTTGAATGTTGTATTGTTATTTTTTAATTAACTTTTTTTACAGTTTTATCACATGAATAATATCATTATATCACATATTTGGAAATCTCATTATCAAATGTCTAATCTTATTTTCTAGGGCTTATAACAATAAGCTACAATCTAAAGCAACAACTTCACAAAAATGAGATAGAGTTTGCCCTGTTGTGTGTAAAACCAAATGTAAAAGGTGCTCTTTTGACAAGATTCTTGGAAAAATATGTAAGGTTTCCGATTTTTACCATTTTACCCCTGGTGGTTGATATTGTTTCTCTTGTGGTTATATATATATATATATATATATATATATATATATATATATATATATATATATATATATATATATATATATATTATATATATAAAGATTTTGTTGTTCGGAAATGGTGATACCTCTTAAATGGAATTATTTTTATTCCCTTTGCCTTCTTGCTGCAATATCTAAAGATAGTAACAGACATAACAGTTTGTACCAATTATTAAAAACTCTATAATATAAGTCCCTTTTTTATTGTGTGTATACTTATAGCTTTACATTTTTTACAATATTGATAAGCCAAACAAGCACACACTACCTCTCTGCTACACAACACACATAACTAATGAAGAGACGACCAAAACTATCAACAAATCCACACCCCGCGTAAAGGGGTTTCGCACCTAGTTTATAACTATTATAATATAATTTATGAATTATAGTTATAAAATAAAAAGTAAAAAGCCACTAAAAATTTGTTACGTCTGAATCTATACTAATAAATAAAACCCATTTTCTGCCACATGTCATGTCCTCATTAATTTGGACACATGGCATTTTAATAGATTTTTAGAATTTATTTATTTCCACATGAAATTTTCTGATTTGTTCACATATCATAACTTATTTCGGTTACAATTAAGAGAAATAAATGCTTCTTTGAAAAAGAAATGATATATTTATAATGTAATAAATGGCATAATTAATGAGAACTCTAAAAATTGATATTGATATTAAATTTAATGTTTAAATATTGATATTAAATTTAATGTTTAAATATTGATATTAAATTTTTATTTTTAATAAACCCGTGTAGTACACGGGTCTTACACATAGTGAAAGAATAAAATTAGCATTGAGAAAAGGGAATAAATAAGTTTGCCTAATTGTTTGGGATTCCTATTAGTTATTCATATGGGCGTGTTTGGCAAAAGTAGTTGTTAGCTTGAAGCGGGTAGCAGGAAGCTGTAACTTTTATTTGTTAGGTAAAAGTAGCTGAAAGCTTTTAAAATATATAAAATTACATAAAATGACAATTGATTAAAAATAAATAAATATATAAATATAGTTTTAAAGATAATTATGAAAATTGATTTCAAAAGCTCAGTAGCGTTTTGTTAAACGATACATAAAGAAATTTTAAATTTAAAACGTTTTGTTTAAACTAAAAGTTAAACGTTCGTACTACCAAAGACGCCCATAATCAACCTCGTTAATTAGGATTTACTAATTTTGTTTCTAATTGATAAGATATTCAAATAAGGTATATTCCATAGTTACCTTTGAAAGTCAATAGGCCGAGGAGATGCCAAATAGCATTAAAATGCTTTCTTTATTAAACAGGAAGATATACCTAATAAATTTAAATCTACCTCTACCTATCTAATAAACAAACGAATCCTTAAAATGGCACATGTCATTTTTCTATACCTTTCATTTGCTACGTGTCCCTTTTACTTTTATTCCCGCCAATTACTTCAACCACGATTCATCCCTAAAAATCAGGTCTTAAAATTAAAAGCGATTAGATAATCCAATAAATCAGCAATAAACATTTTGAATTCCATTCAATTTGATCTCCATATATATATATATATATATATATATATATATATATATATATATATATATATATATATATATATATATATATATATATATATATATATATATATATATATATATATATATATATATATATAGGTAAAATCAATCCAATAAATCAGTAATATACATTTTGAACTCCATTCAATTTGATCTGCATCATAAATCTCGGCAAAATCAATCCAATAAATCAGCAAACATTTTGAATTCCATTCAATTTAATCTGCACAATAGATCTCGGCAAAATCATAGTCTTCGTATGATAGTCCTCCTTAAAATGGTCGTCGGTCACCCAATCTTTTTCTCTCTTAAAATACAGAACTCCCTTCTACTTGCTTACTTACCATATCAAGCGACAAAACAGTGTATAAGAAATGAAACTTCGTAACTCGAAGTAAGTCACGTTCACCTCTGAATCTTGATTCTAGGTAATCTTCATCTCCAAGACCTTCTTCTTACGATGGTCACATATGGAAGACATGTTATTTATTTCCTCTAATAAGAAACATAGTTTTTTTTTTAATTGCTAGCCATAACAGCCTACCAACATTGACTATTTCTATATAGTGCTTTATAAAGGATGTTGATTTGGTTACTAATAATATTTGTGTTTGGATCGTTAATGGATCTTTGAAGGATCATTAGGCGACATCTCTCTAGGCAAAGTCACACAAAATGTTTGTAGGTAAGAAGTCTTTTTTAAATTTCGATTATAATTTGTTGATATACAACTTATATGCCTCTTTTTACTGATACGGGAATACAAGATCTCCCATTGTTTTTGGTTTCTTCCTTACCATATTTGATGTCCCATTGTTTTTTATTTCTATTTGATTTTCCAGGTTCAAGTTGTTGTATGTTAAATTGATAAGCAAAGAACGTTACCTCCGACATTAGAGTAGGATTTCAATGTTTCTTGAACCGATATGTTGCAATTTTCTTTGTTTGAAGTATGTGTATTTTTTTAGAGCTGTTATGTTGGAATTTTGTTTGTTTGAAGGATGTGTATTTTATAGATGTTTGACACAACTATGGTGGATAAAAACGGGTTAAAATCAGAAATTTGTGTATCGTTTGGTTCTATGGTTTTAATTTGTTTAGATTTAGATTTTTCATCAATTATGTTTTTCGATTTCACAGTTTTGAGTTTTTTTTTTTTTTTTTTTTTTATTTTCTTTCCGATGTTTGATTCTAATTTTCTATCATTACATCCCATTTGTCTAAGTAGTTTTCCAATTATCATGGGTTTATGTTCATCTTAAATTACTCAAATTGTATTTCTTTTAAGAATATATTTTTGTATTTTGAGAAATGCAATTTGATTCCAAAGTGATTATTGGTTTCTCTCATTTCATCTTCTTAAACATAGTGTTTTTCGCTTATTTATTTCCTTTGTTGGGATGGGTATGACAATCCTGATATGTAAACCCATTCACTTTGTTATTGATGTCAACCATTGTTAAAAATGTTAAATGCAAGACAACACAACACACTTTCCTATTTTTGTTTATGACAAGGCACAAATATAAAATAGTTTTATAATTCATTTCTCAGCCAAATTTGAATTCGGGAAACTTGCAATATATGTTAACTTTTTTTTTTTTTTTTTTGGAATGGTTTAATAAACTAATTTTCATCATTCATTTCATATTCATCATAAAGAAAAAAACTTTCTTATGTTTAGAGTTGTTGAGATATATGATGAGTATTGAGTAAGCAAATAACCTTTAAATTGATTTACTTTTTTAGTTTAGTTTGGAAGCAAATGAGAAACTCATCTAATATGGATCTTTGCTGATAGGGAGACTTGATTTTTTGTTGTTGTGTATGGGTTTTGAAGTTCAAATAAAGAAGATTATGAACGAGATGCCTCCTTGCAGGCAAGCTCTCATGTATACCGCCACATAGCTTAGAGAAGTATGAAAAATAGTCCGTGATCATCATGTTTAGGTCAACATTGATAATGCAAATGAATTTGCTGCAAACAAGTTTATTATAGAGGTTTGTATTCTTTTCTTAAATCATTATTGACAAATAAGTAGAATGTGATGATATAATGCAAGTGTTGTGTTATGTTGTAGTATGTTGATGTTGTTCTTCCAATAAAAGATACTGAGATATGAATAACCATTTCCAAAATTATAATATTTTGTTCAGTAAAGAAATTACATGGTCAGTTGACACAAAATTAATTTAAATTAGCAATTATATATTTCTAGAAAAATAATTGTTTTCAAATGTATTATTAATTATAAAGTCTATTAATTTTCAAAGTTGTTTATTATATTGTCCCCGTGTAGTACACGGGTTATAACCTAATTGAAAAAATCAATAGAATGACACATTAGATAATATTAATTAGGATATGTAATAAAATAGCATATCATTCATAAGCCTAAACTAACTTCCATCTGTTTCATTGTTTTTTTTCTTTTTGTAAAAGAGTTGTAATACATGAAATAAAATCAAAAGAAGCATGGTATTTTCTACGTAGGTTTTGTTAATAATTGAGCATCATATCTATTAATAATTGAGCATCATATCTATGAAACGAATACATTAATCATTATCAATCTCAATGACCAATTTAATCACCTGTAACTAACATTAACAACCTAAACAACACTAACGATATTCTCTTAATCTAAACATGATGTCACTTTATTCTTTCTCACGCTAACTCAACATGTTTTCTTGTTGATCACCAACACTTCCACCTGATATTTCCTGCAAGGAGACAAAAAAAAAAAAAAAAAATCATTCTTTAACACATATTTTTTCATTTTTACGTGATCTTTCATTCTTTAACAATCATTTCTTTCTGTTATGTACATGATTATAACAATGTCATCCAAATACAAGGCAATTATCACTATTATAATCGGTTAATATGTTCAAATTATGTCATAATAAAAAAAACAAAAGTACAATGGTATATAATGCTTTAATAAGAAAAAACTGAACACACAATGATGTTTTAAAAAGAAATAAACTAAGATACTATAATACACAAATAAATAAAAGTACATTGCTATTTCTTATATTTAGCCCATATTATAAAAAGGGAAAGTAAAAAATATGCAAGATGTGGAAATGACTTAACATACCAAACCTAAAGCTTCAATAAGACTTCTTCGATTCTCTTCACTAGATACCCCAATTAGCATCTTTAATAAATACTCTCTTTGTTCCAATTTCAAATGTTTCTCCAGCCCATTAGCTACCATTTCCATCTCCGGCTGCAAAAAAATAAAAATAAATAAATAAATAAATAATTAAAAATTAAAAATTATTATTTAATGAGCATTTCTTAGGCTCCATTTGTTACACTGGACATGACAAACTGTACCTGGTTGGTATTCATTGGACTAAAGCTGTGTTTTGTGACGCTGATAAACTAGCTTATTTTTCGAGCTTTTTTATGTTGTCGTGTTTGATAAAGCCAAAAAGTAGCTATAATCTAACTTTTTGAAAAACTACTTAGGCTATGTTTGGCGGACTAGCTGAAAAGTTAGTTGATGGCTGAAAAGCTAGCTGTTAAATAAAAAGCTAGCTGATAGCTGAAAAGCTAGCTGATAAAAAATAACGTTTGATAAAACTAGTTGAAAAGCTAGCTGAAATATATAAAATTATATAAAAGGACATGTAAGAATATGTGTTTTATAATTAATTAAGGGGTGTATTTGGAAAATTTTTAAAAAACTCCTAAAAAGCTAGTCTAAGTAGCTTTTCAAAAAGCTAACTTATAAGCTACTTTTTGGCTTACCAAACACGACAATATAAAAAAAAGTCGAAAAATAAACTAGCTTATCAGCTAGCTATGGCGCGCCAAACACAGCCTTAGACTAGCTTTTTAGGAGCTTTTCTAAGACTTTCCAAATACACTCCTTAACTAATTATAGAAACACTCATTTTATGTAATTTTATATATTTCAGCTAATTTTATAAAACGTTATTTTTTATCATCTAGCTTTTCAGCTATAAGCTAGCTTTTTATTTAACAGTCAATTTTTCAACTACCAGCTATCTTTTCAGCCAGTACGCCGAACATAGCCTAAGACTGAGACTGAGACTGAGACTGATGTTAGTGGAGTACGCCAAACATAGTCTAAGACTAAGAGGGTGTTTGGCTTAGCTTTTCACAACTAAAAGTCCTTTTTGTAAAAGAAAAAAAACAAAAAGATGTTTGGCAAATTAGTAACTTTTGGAAAAGTCAGGATTCCCTGACTTTTTGTAACTTTTTGGAAAAGAACTTTTGAGCTTTTAAAAACTAAACCAAACACGCCCTAAGACTGAGACTGATGCTAGTGGAATGAATCCGAAAGTGATCAAAAGATTTACCGAGCCTTCTTCCGGTGGAAATATCCTGTGAATTAGACATAACTTTGACAATTCCTCCACCGCTTCAATATGCTTACCTTGCATTTCCAAAGCCTGAAATACAAAATGAAAACTAAAAGTATATACATGAAAGAAATTCATTAAAAAATAATAATAATAATAATAATACAATAACTCACCCAAGCTTGTAAGAGCCACGATCGTGTGCGTGCAGCCACAGCTGCAGCCACCATTCTAGCAGCTCGAAAGCTTTCAAGGCCAATATTATCAGCAAGCCCACCAATGAATTCTCGTGCATCCTCTCCATCAATTTGAACAAATGTCGAATGGCTTCCTACCCTAAAAACATTATTAATTTTTTTTTTTTTAAATATTAACATAAAAAAAATACAATTAATACCTGCTACAAGTTTTTAAAGTAAAGTCGACAGATGCACGATAAATTGAATCACGTGAATTAGGAGTGTCAATGGAAACTTTGACTCCAGACATCCTGCATATTCTACGCAGCTGTTCATGAAAAAAAAAAAAAAAAGTCAAAGGTAAACCCGATTGATTATCATAAAGTCAACCAAAAGGAATGGACTTACTAAGATTATATCATCTTCCTGAAAATCTTTTCCACTCGTTCTATAATCCATGATTGCTGGAAATCAAGTTGAGGAATATCATTGAACTTTCATGGTTTCTTTTCATTTTTCATAGCTAACAATCAATCACAATCTTATAGTAATAAGATTCTCATGTTTTTTGTTTCACATATTGTAAACCAACCTCTAATTAACCAGTTAGCTTTTCGTTGATTCTCTTCCTTGTCGATTCCCTCTAATGGAGCTGGACGAGAATCCGGCCACCAATCAGGAAGCTTCTTCTTTGATTTCTCCCAGTTCTTCGTCATTGAATTTGAATAGCTCAAAATCGAATCTTCAACAGAAGACAATGGATTCACAGAGACATTGAACTCCTTCTTTGAGTCTTTCTGAGTGCTGACGACCACCTCTCTTCCGCCTAAACTCCTATCCATCCTTGTAACCACCCCTCCGCCGTCATTGCTCCGGTGCCTGAACAAATTCCGAAACCCTAACCCTAGTTTCAGTAAAACCCTAAAAGCGAAAACGGTAATGAAACTCAGAGCAATCAACTGGCCGATGAAATAAACCGTTGTTTTTCGGCAGGACACCACGACTTTCTTATTACTGTCGACGGTGATCATAGTCTGCAAGTCCTCCACGGCGTCGATTCCAGAGTCAACGAACTGATTGAAGTTCAGTTTGGTGATTTTCACTAACTTTTTCAAAGATAGGGATGCTCTGTCGGGTATGTAGTGTTCGAGGTCGATTACCAAGTGAAGCTTGGAATCTAAGTGAGGTGATGAAGCGTCGGCATCGGTCGTCGGAAAATAGATATTACTGTCGGGGTTGCGACGACGGCGGAAGTGGCGGCGGGGGTGTGGTCGGCGGAGAGAACAAAAGGTCGTGAAGGTTGTGGGGCGGAGATGAGGTTTGGGGATTGGTAAGTGGGGGCGGTGGTGAAACCATTGATGGGAGGTAGTGGTGAGACCTGTAATTGATGGATGAGTTGTGGAAGATGGAGAATGGCGGAGCGAATTCACTGTTGGGTTCATCGCCTTGACCCCCGGCTGGTTGACCACCGAAGAGACTGCCTGCAGTCGAGTTCTTGATGGTGGTTATGGTGGCCGGGTGATACACGGAGAGTGTGACACAGACACACGGTTATTGCTTCTTTTTGTTATATGGCCCCTGCGTACAGTTATGTTTGATATAGATTGCAATTATACCAGGTTAATAGTATAATCGATTTTTTTAATTGAATCTTAATTTTATTTGTTTTCTAAAAAAACTAATTTATATTTCATTTATTTTTTTAGAAAACCTTCAACTTTTTCCTTTTTCCAAAAAAAAAAAAAAAATTTTTTTTTTTTTTGTGAAAATGGATCTTACGTTTTTTATTTTTATTTTGGAAAAAACTCACATTTGATAATTTTTTTGGAAAAAACCGTTAAAATTTTCAAATAAAAAAAATAGTCTTTTCACAGAAAACTGTTAAATAAAAAAAACTAAAAAATATAAGTTATTTTCAAAAAAAATAAAATAAAATTGAAGTTTAATCATTAAAAACCACAATATAAGGTATCTTATAATATTAACCCTAAATTTAATAGACGGACATAAATATGTTGTTTGCTTTTTTCGTGGTTAAAACGGTTGTACTCTACGGACCACATCTGCAACTCTTTACAGCATAAGAGGTGGATCAAGCATCTGCAAACCACAATAAGAAGTTTATCTATTTTTAACGTCAGCAAGTTATTGAAATAAACTAAATTAACCATACAATAGTTAAAAATAATTTTAAATCAAAATTTTTTATTTAGTTTTAATCATATGCAAATCGAATATAAAGATCATTATGATGAGATGATTTTTAAAGATGGTTATAAAAAATAATTAAACATAATAATTTCAAAATAACAATCAATAAAATTGTTAATTTAGCGATCAACATGTTTATTTTGTTAAATTTTCCAAGAAGATAGTTATTTCTTCGGTTAACTTAAATAGATTTGATAATTTTAGTGATTAACTTTACAATCTGTTTTGGTTATAGATAATGTATGTCACACCCTCGGCCAGCGGCGGAAACGCCAAGTTGTGCGACGTTAGAATGTTGGATCACAGGTATTCAATATATATATATATATATATATATATATATATATATATATATATATATATATATATATATATATATATATATATATATATAAGTTGCGACCCAAAGATTGAGTAGCATAAGGCTCTGGGCCTTGGAGAAAAAGCGGTTTAGACACATTTGGTTGTGGATATTGTAAGTTTTTGATACCAAGAATTTGATTTTCACTTCGGAGCTCGAGGGTATAATGGTAAAACTGATGGTTCGGGGCTTTCATGGATTAAGGATTTTACTTGGAGGTTATTTAAGTCAAAAGTAATTATATAGGGTTGTAAAGCTCCTCATTGCCTTTCTGTGGATATAAAGATCATCGAAAATGAAGTTTGGACGGAAAAGTTATGGCCATCAGAAGATTTATCGGTAGGGAGTATGTCGTGTAGGATGGGTGTACAAGTGATGTACATTGGGCATACATGGCTAGAGTGATCTGGAAGGCTCATTCACGAACGTTGGGTGTACCAGATGTACGTTGGGCATTCGCGACTTAATCTCAAACCCTAATTTAGGGTCTACGATCCTATGTTAGAGACCTTAACTCGTCTTCAAACCCTCCTATCTTCAGCCTCCATCCCATTAAACCATAATTATGAAACCCTAGCTTGTTCTTGAGTGTTCTTGAGCTTTGGGTGGTTAACCTTTAGTGTTTTTGCTCACTTTGAAGAAGAAGGAGCTTGGTGTTCAAGCATTGGTTGGAGTGGAGCTCATAGATCCAAACTCTTCATCTATTTTGCTAACATTTGAAGGTATAAAAAGTTTCTATCTTGGTAACTCTATGTATTATATCTAGTCTAGGGATTATTTTGGGCATATTACGATCCCTTTAGTCATCCTTGTGAGTATGAGCTACTCCAAGAGCTTAGAATGTTGGATCTTCCCGTTTCTGAAGTTGTTAGTGCATAAAAATGTCATCTTAATGAATTTGGATGAACAATGTGAGAGTTGGTGTTCATGTTATGGACTTAGTTGAATAAAAACTGGTTTTAGGTCCCATTAAGACATACAAAGTAGTAAAGTCGCCAACTTTATGTGTTAAGACCTTAAAATGAAGTTAGATATGAGTTTGGACGTTTGGTCTTAAGCATTAAGTGCTTAATATGAGGTTTTGGTCACCTGGTGAGTAGGATGGGCGTACGTAGGAGTACGCTCAGCGTAATGCATGGATCCCACGAGTTCAAGCAAGGATGATTCGTACCTTATGCATCAAAGAGATGTATGCCGGGCATACAAGTCTAGTACACAAGGCGTACGTTGCATGAGATTTCTTTATTTTGGCCACCTTTTCGACTTTAGGGTTTTAGGCTTTTGTTGGGCCACAATTATTGCTGAGATAAGCCATTAGGCTTTGGACCTTTATGGAATTGGGCCCATATTGGGCCTTGAGTATCTTTTGGATTTCGGCCAATATTGGGCTTTAAGTGTCATTGAGTTTGGGCCACGTTTAGTAGGCCAATCGAGGAAGGGTAAAATGGTCTTTTACCCAAGGAGTCAGGCTTAGTAAATTAAAGTCCTGAATATGGGTTATGACTTACTTATTGATCTTGGTTGTATTTCATTGGCTAGCATGCGGATTCTCAGGTTCAATAACCCGAGCATCAGTTGGATTTTCAACGGATAGAGTGAATTTGCTCATTATATTGTATGACACTAGGGATTATATGTGTGCTTATAGTCTTTATGACTCCTTTTATATATGTTATATGTCTATGTACCTGTTTGTTATATGTATGTGCAGGTGAAATAGACTCGTATAGCCTTGTGTTGACATATGAGTTGAAATAGAATCGCGGGTGAAATAGACCCGATACGGCCTTGGGCTGGCATATGAGTTGAAATAAACCCGACACAACCTTGAGATGGCGTATATGTATGTTATGTGGTATTTTGAGTAACTCACTAAGCTGTATGCTTATGTTTTATGTTTAAAATGTTTTCAGACATGTCTGGTTCGAAAGGGAAGGACCCAACATGACTGCACCACATCCACCATTGTTTCCGCACTTTGTGATTTTAGGATTTTACTTTGATATACTTTCGAATGTTTAAAATGGATTAAAGATGTTTATGGTTGCATTAAAAATAAAAATTTTACCTTTTAATTTTTGGAACGTTATATATATATATATATATATATATATATATATATATATATATATATATATATATATATATATATATATATATATATATAAGGAAACAATTTGAAGGAAATGGAAAAAGATTCAACCGATAGTTGATCTTTGAATGTGAGGAAGAATAAGGGGTTGCAGCCCTTTTATAGTGAAATTTTTTGGGATGCGCTCACTCCGTGCACTTGGGTTGCATGTCGCACTCTTCCTACGTCGCTCAAGTATGATGCTACAACGTGTTAAATTCTTGTAGATCCACGTCGCCCTTCTAAAAGCTGTGCGCGCCATGCAAATGCATATTTTGTAATTTCCATAACTTCTTCATATGAGTTCCGTTTTCGATATTCTTTATATCCACGTGTAGCTATCGACGAGTACTAAAGCTTTGCTTTAAGAAGTGACTAGAAGTGGTTTATATATATATAATATATATATATATATATATATATATATATATATATATATATATATATATATATATATATATATATATATATATAAACAACCTCTAAATGATCGTCTTTAAAATTAAAAAAAAAAAAAAAAAAAAAAAAAAAAAAAAAAAAAAAAAACTATTGGGAATGCATGTGCATTGCGACATGTTTATTAATCATATATATATATATTGGACACTATTTATGTGATATTCTTTTACACATGGACCATTTCTATAATTTCAATATTACATTGGGACCATAATTGTAATTTTATCTTATATATGTATCATTTCTATAACTTTTGTATTACATAGGAACTATTTCTCTAATTTGGCTTTTATAATGATCCTTTTTGCTCCGATTGCACTACTTGCCGTAGTTTTGTGCTTTGTAAAAATTCGTCTTCTAATTGTGTTTGGATTTACTGGTTTTTTGTGTTTATATTTGATTTGCAATTTGTTTTTAGTATAAATTATTCGTGCAAGTCTTTTTGTAACGACCAAAAATTCAACAAAATTTAAACTTTTCAAAAACATCCCAATTCATTAAGTTATTATAAAAAGGTTTTCAATACATTTATTATCAGAGTATTCCCAGATCCATTTCATAAAACATAAACACAAAGAGCGGTACGATCACGCCTTTGCCTTGCCACGGTCTCCTGAAGAACTTGAAAAACATTAAACCACAACTGTAAGCTCGAAAGCTTAGTGAGATACCCCCAAAATACCAACCACATATACCGTACACCAAACATGCTATATCATAACGAATCGCAGAACAGCCATGCATATCGGGTCTACTGGGAGACTGGTCCGCTATGTCGGGCCTTCAGTCCACTTGGTCCACCATCCGAGTCCAGTCATGTCCCTCGAGTCTGCAGTGTGGTTGGTCCGCCCGCACCGGGCCTTTAACCCACCTAGTCCACTCTCTGAGTCTACAGTATGACTGGTCCGCCCGCATCGGGCCTCCAGTCAGCCTGGTCCACTCTACGAGCCTCGGCACGTCTGGTCTGCTCTCGTGGGGCCTACAACCTATCCGGACCGCTCGCTGGGCCTTCGGAACAACCGGTTATGTAGCTTATGTCTTGGGTACCCGGGAGAAGGGCAAGACGACAGTTGACGATGTTCCGGTGGTGCAAGACTTCCCGGATGTATTTTTAGAGGATTTACCGGGAATACCTCCTGAGAGGCAGGTCGAGTTTGTGATCGACCTAATTCCTGGTGCGGCTCCGATAGCTAAGGCACCGTACCGGCTAGCTCCCCCTGAGATGCAGGAGTTGTCTACACAGCTGCAGGAGCTACTAGACAAGGGTTTTATTCGGCCGAGTAGTTCACCTTGGGGAGCGCCGATCCTGTTTGTGAAGAAGAAGGATGGGTCGCACCGTATGTGTATAGACTACCGGGAGTTGAATAAGGTAACGGTGAAGAACCGTTACCCCCTCCCGATGATAGACGATTTGTTTGA